AGGATTTCAGTAAAACAAGTGGCTTGCCTTGTAAAATGGTGTCCCTGCTCTCCTTTCTGCTGCTGCGTCTAGAAGGGCGTGCTTGATATTTCTTCTGTCTTTTCTAAGAAGCTATACTGCGATCTAGGCAGGTTTGGATTTGTAGTAGGTGATTGTTTTTAAGTGTCATCACGGCTATCTTACAATCCCGGCAAGCTTTTGGAAACGCGTCTCGCTGAGTGCACTCCCATGTGTTCAACATTTCTTAGCAGCAGCAGCAGCCAATAACGTTAGCTTCGAGCATGGCTGTGAATCTTGCAAACCCTGTTAAAGTCTTAATATGTAGGATTAAGCAGAAGATGCCCCCTGATGAGGCTCTGCGTTGTTTCATTTGCCAGGGAAATATTACATTTAATCTTCATGTAAGTAGAGCTTGCGTTTTGTCTTGGTTCTGGTTATCGCTGTGTACCAGCATTAAAATTATATTCTTTTTTTTAAAACCGTAAAAAAAAAAAAATAAAATCTCATTAAAAGCTTGTAAGCAAAGCCTTGAGGTTGCTGGACGCTTGCTTTGTTGATACCTGAGTGGCAAGCAGGAGGAGCTGCCCCATGTTGCGCTGCTGCCTTCCTTTCTTGAGCTCATGGAAAGCAGAGGTGTGCTCTGTCAGTGTTTTCTTCGGTTTTGGAAGAACATCAATTAATCGCTCCTTCAAATACGTGCTTAATTGCTGTCTTACCTTGTGCCTACCTGTTGTACCTGGAGCAGGTTGAGCAGACTGTTAAGCTGGAAGCCCAGGGTGTAAATCCTGCAAGGTGCTGAGTGCCTCCTTCGGAGGCTTGGGCGCGCACGGAGCTCACACCTCGCCGCTGGATCGCTCTGCGAGGAGGCAGTGGCAACTTGCTCCTTGGAGGCTCCAGGTTTGCTGCCTCCGCGCGAACACCGGCAGCGAGGGGGAGATGCCCGAGGACAACGGGGGGGCTGCCTGAGGGCAGAGGTGGTGGTTGGCAATCCTGCCCTCCTCCCGAAGGGGCAACTCGCTGGCTGCACGGGCTTTCACTTCTTGGGCAGGATCCCGTTCCTGGAGCCCTCTGCCCTTCCCTGTCCTGTATCCTCTTGCAAGCAAAAGCAAAGGAGCGCTTAAATTAAGAGTCCTGGTAGAGTTTTCTCCCTGATGTTTTCTTAGGTTTTTTTTTTCTTCCTGATTGTTTTCTTAGGTTTTTTCTTCAAGCGAGGTAAAGTAGCAGGAATTGGGCTGTTAGGAAGGGAAGGGAACTGAAACCATCCCAGTGCAGAGCGATTGCTGGTTGCAGTATAACTTAATGTTCTCGGCACCTGTTGGTACTTGGTGCCCTTCTTAAACCGTGATTTAATTGGAGTTATAACCAGGATAAACACATAACAGGTTGTTGTTAAGGCAGGAAGGTGCCCACAGTTAAAGCGACAGGCTCCCGTACGGAGTGGGTTCCCGGCCAAATAGCTATCTGTTTTACTGTCTGCTTAAATTAGAGGTGATGCGGTGCTGAGGGAGAGGTGTCTGAATTTTCTGCTTTGCTCTCCTGTCGTTCTGGATGTTATTCTGGCAGCAAAAATGAGAGATTGCTGAATAACATTTTTTTAAATATTGAATGTGAATTATATATGTGGGGGGGTGTATAGGAGTTCAGCGTTTCATTGTGTGTCTTACTGTGTGCATTCAGCTTCCCTCCTTTCACTCTCTCCATTTCCCTGTGGATTTTGTCCATGTATTTCTGGAATAATGAACATAGAGCGTTGCTCTTTGTTTTTCTTCACCAAAATAGAGCTCGCGTGACTGAAGAATCATACGACCTTGCCATCTCTAGTTTCCACTAGGTCATGCAGCCTGTGTGCCGGTGCCTGTCGATTCTAGCAGGGAGCTTGCGGACAAACTGCCCTCGCCGTTAGAAAACGCCCCGTGTTCTACCTTCTGCCGGGGAAATGGTCAGTTAGTTTTATTGCTGGCGGAACGACGTGGTTCTCGCTTCCCACCCCCCGATTTTTTTTTATACCTTTTTTCCACCTTCTTGGGATGCTCTGAATCGTTTGTTCCTTGACGCTGATACACTTTGGATACTGGTCAGCCATTGTAGAGAAGTACAAGCCCTCGCTTACTCCTCACTAAGGCAATCTCTGCTTAGTCTTTGCCAGGCTCTTCCCTCTCCTGTCGCCACTCAGTCCCTTCGGCCTTACGACCACTCACCTCTAAATGCTATCTCCTCATCTTCGGTCTCCGTCTTCTTCCAGTTCCTCAGCTGCTCTGATAATGATCTGCCTGAGATTGAGGGTGGATTTAGTCTCTTGGAAAAAGGCGATTTCACTGCCTCTTGGGCTTGTGTAGCCATTAACGATTCTCTGCAAACTGGGGCTGGTACTGGATTCAGAACTAAGATACTATTTTTTTGTTACCGTTGCAGCTTCCAAGAGCTGTTCTCTAGTCTTAAATCATTTGACTTATTCCCTGGAGCAAATTGATTCAGCCTTCCAAGAGAAGCCAAATCACTCGCAGTCCATTTTCTTGGCGTTAGGTCTTTCAAATCAGGTGGAGGGGTGGATCTGCGTGTATCGTTTTTAAACTGAGGTGGTGGTGGTCTGTCGCCTCTAATCCCTTTTAAACTGTGAATTACAGAGCATGCCTGTATATTCTGCGTGATCCACATACAGGAAAGCGCAGGAGGTGGTGCAGACTTCCCGATATTACTGACTCAGTGTGAGGAAGGGATAGCCATTTTCGATCGTTTTCACAGGGTCAAATGCTGCTTTCCAGAAATGATTGCATTTCGCTGGTGCATGCTTTCCTTGGACTGAATGCTAGAAGAAAGAAGCATAAAATATTTTCTTTGAGATTGTACAAACAGAGTGTCTGGGTGGATTATTCTGAAACGTTTTGCACTATCTGGCTGTAGCTGGCTTTAATTTTTTTGGTGATACTCCCTTAAAAATGAATGTCTTAATTTGTTTTAATGTTTTTGTTAGGAAAAGTCTGCATTTACGACACTTGCTGCCCTTTAGGGGAGCTTAACCCTGGAGGCATTTGTCATCCCCTGTGAAAGGTTGAGGTTAAAAGCTGACAGTTGATTGTTAGCTAAATTTTGCATTATTTCCAAATTCCAGTGGGCTTTTCACCTGGCCTTGAGCGCTCTCTCCTGCGAGAGCAGTGGTGGGGGACTTAGCGTGTAAATTATAGATGTGCAAATCATTGCTGCCTTCCCGACTGCCTGGGTACTCTCCGTGTAACAGCTGATTGTTTCTAGTCAGCCGTCTGTGGACCTTTTATAATGACTGTATTGGGACAGACTATATCCAAACGGAGGTGAACAAGAGGGGATGAGGTAGTGGTATGCATAATGAATGAATGGTATTGAGAGGGGATGAATAGTGTCAGGTCTGCCCGCTCCCGGCCCCTGAGCAAGGTGTGACATTGAAAGGTAAGCTTAAGGATGTTTGCACTGGAGAGACTCTGGCAATCCATAAAGTCTGAGATTTTGACTAAAACCTGACAGGATTTAGGATAGGATCAGGCACTTACGCAGTTATCAAGCGTACCCCCTGAAAAAGGTAAAAATCAGTGTGTGGTACTAAAGCAGGCCTGCGTGTCCCTGATTAACCTCCGGCGTGGTAGAGTAATAGATGCAAAGTTGAAGAGATTGATAAATTATTAACTTAAGCACTTGGCATTTCTCGGTGGGCTGTGTTGCTTTGTTTTTTCTTGACGGTGGCGAGACCAGGCGTGCTCTGGAGCTGCGCAGCGACGCGTCGGGGCAGGGGCGAATGTCCGATGAGACGCCCGTTCTTTCGCAGCAGAAAAGCTGGATGAGAACATAAAGCCAGGTTGTCTGCTGAGGCAAGACCGGAGCTCGAAAATCATTTTGTTCTTAAAGCTGTCTCTAGATCTAAATGCTATTTTAAAACCGTGCTGCGAAGCTGCAGTTTAGTTTTTGATCGCCATTGTGGGCGTGGTTGAAGAGTTAAAACTCATCTTGGTTTTAGGGGCAAATGAAGCTGCTCCTTTAAGTCTTGCTCAGTCAACTGTAAATGGTTTGAAGCCAGATCTTTTTTTTTTTATTATTTTGAAAAGAACCAGGTTTGGTTTCTAAATGCATTTGGAGAGGGGGGGCTGTTGGCTTTTCTTAAACCAGTATCAGCCTTGGGAGATCTGCGCTGAGAGGAACCTGGTGCTTTTGAAACCTGAAGGAAGAGAACATGGCACGGAGGTGGTGATGGAGGCAATCCCAAAATTGCTCTCGTGTCCTGGCTGTGTCCAAGCTGTTTTGTTTGGGGAAAGTCCTCTTTTTTTTTTTCCTTCTCTTTCTTTTCTTTCTTTCTTTACTCTTTTTTCTCTTTAGGGGTGGGGAGAGGTTTCTCCCTGGTGATACATTTAATCAAAGCTGGTGGAAGCTAATGCTGTCTTGCGCTCTCCTTTCTGCTGAAGGCAAATGAAACCGGTTATGTTTTTCTTCCGTCTAATACCATTAATTCAAACTCACTGACCTTCCCCCTCAAATCTTCAAAGCCGACACAGCTGAATATGAATGCATGCGGAGTGCTGGTTTCACGTAGCAGCAAGGCAAGTTTTAAACCTCGCAATAATTGGGCTGCTTTCACGCTGAGCTCATGTTCTGCGTGAGAGATGTGTCCGTGTCAGCGGTGCTTGGGAGCAGTCCTCCATAGCGGTGCGTTGTGATACTTCTTGAAGGTATCTGCTTCGCGCTTGGCGGTGGCAGTTGCGGTTCGCTTGGGCGAGAATGGCATGTCGTGGACTGATTTCCACAAAAGTTTTGGTGATGGCCTTGCTTTGTAATCCTCTAATTTGTATGACAGGATTGTAAAGTAAACGAGGATGAAATAAAGAAACAACCCTTCCAGGAGTGAAGCACTTATCCTGGAAATGTCAAATCTTAACTGCGATGTGACTCAGCATGGTTATACTGACTTACTCCTCGGTGCTACCGAAGCCACCTCCTCTCTTATTTTTTTTTAATTTTTTTTTTTTTTCTTTTAAGGCTTTCAACCTGCTACTGTGTCAGTTGTGAAATCAGGGAAGCAGTGAAAATAGGAAGCTAAACAAAACCACAGCATTTTGTTTAACAGGCCTGGCATCGTAGGTAACTTAATACTCCTGGCCTAGGGGAGGAATCTGTGCATGGTTATTGGGGTAAGCTTAGATCCCAACAGGAGAATGCGGCTTTGGGAGACTGGGGGGGACGATGCTCGGTTGAAAAGTTGAGATGTCAGAAATCAGATCCTTGTAACTCAGTACCGGAGTCTGTGTTCCTTGAAAGGGAAGGTATGCGAGGAGGTGTTAACTCACCCTTCTCGTGGCTGATAGGAGCGACTGCACCCTGCGAGTGAGCTTACGGCTAGTGCTGCTTCACGCTTTTTTAAAAATTGTGGGCGCCGTAATGAACTCGTGTGTTTTGTGTAAAGCTCCAAGGTCTTGGATTTAAACAGATTCTGGCTCGCTTGCAACTGCTGGGAAAGTTATAAATTAGTCATAATCCAGGCTTTTTTTATTAATTCATGGTTTCTGCCGTGTTTTCTTTTGTTTGATGTTGGCAGTGTGACCAGAAGGTTGCCCTGAAAAGGTAAGTTTAAATACTTGCCTTGTTTGGATCAAGAAGGAGGAGATTTCGCCAGTAAATACCCATGCTCTTCTGACTTTGCAGAAGGCAAAAGCAGTGCGTTTTACACGTGGAGAAGAGCCACAGCAGTAGCGGTTGGGGCGGGGGGCGGGATCCCAAAACACTAGTTGGGGTTAAGTGCAAGACTGAAGAAATATACCCCCGTGGTTTCAGCAAGTCATTTAAACTGTGAACCCCGTTTTAATTACTGGTCACTGCTTGAATTTCCCCGGCATAATATTGAGACTTGCATCTTGCCAAATGAAACAAAAAATATTGTAAAATTGAAATGATTAGCGATAACGTTCTCATAATGTTAAGCCCTTGCGTCCATGAGAAGGCACTATTTTGCGTTTAAAAGCATGCCACAAATGTGCATATGCTCTGAAAGAAAGAAGAAAACTTGCTGACCCGCTGAAATGAACTCGATGTTCAGTCCTGCAAAGCTTATTGACCGCTGGACAATTAAACCATCTGCCCATACTCTGTTGCTAAACTCAGTTTTACGGATTTAGAGTATAGATTGTTTAGGAGAGGGCTGTGTTTGATTCTCGGCGTATGTTGAAGCTAGAGGATTAGATGCGTTAGGATTCGGAGCGATCAAATGCCAACGTGGGAGCTCCTCTCCCTGAGCTGCTTCGCCTCGGTTCCTGCAGACACATGTTGATTTGTGCAGATCCTCAGGTGCAGTCCCTTGCCTCCCCTTTACAGTGACTTCTACTCGCTGAAAATTTGTCCCTTTGCACTGACCTGCTGCAGCTTTTCAAATGTCAGTTCTCTGGAAAAAGAAAAAATCTTTCATCACTTCAGCGTGATGCATCAGAAGAAGAGTCAGGGTTAAGCAAAGATGATTTGCCTGTTTAGTCATAGCAAGAAATGTGTTTTGTGGGGTTATTGTCTGCGTGGGGGTTCTAGCGAAGGCGATTTGAGGCTGTCGTGCAAAGGTGCCTCGAGAGAGCCCAGGTGCTGCTGGTGCCTCTTCTCCACGTTGTGCACGTGGCTTTGGGGCCTTCCAAACTGTTCTCCTCCATTAGTTTTTCTCTGGAGTTGGTTGCGTAAGTGGGGATCGGGCATGAGAACAGCTTAAGTTATAACCGGCTAGTTTGAGTCTGAACCGGCATCTCTGTCTTGTTAGAGCCAAAAGTTTTAGTCGTCTGCTGATGAATATTGCATTTGATGTCGTTTCCTTTTTTTCGACTTCAGTTTATCTGTTTGCAAGGGCTTCCTGCTCGGTGTGGCTGGGGGGCAATGGGATTCTTCAGGGTCAGGAATTGCATTACTGGGGTTTTTTTAAGAGAGTCTCGGAATACGTACAGCTCAGTAGCAAGTGAGTCCTTAAATTGTCCTCTGTGCCTCTTGGTGGCTTCCAAAGTCACAGGTTTCTTCGCTGCTACCTGAAGCTCAGTGTAATGAGGACACTTCAGGATATTCTGTGTGCAACTCTTTCTCGCCAGTTTTCTGCAGACTTGGAAGGCACAAGAAACGAGTCTTAAGATAAGTGAACTTCATAATCCTCTGTAGGTTTTGTTTTATTTCAAATAGCAGCTGGGGATCTGTTGCTGAGCACCCAGGGAAAGGCTGCGCAGTCAGGTGTATGGTGCTACGATGTTGAAGGCTTTTACTCTCCTTTACAAGGCACTTCAAACAATAGAAAAGCCCCTTAATGGAAAGAGGGTCCTGAGCTGGCAGGTTATGTGCTTCTGCTACTGAGTGTGCCTTGTCACTGGTGTTAGTTTTCTCTCGCTCGTTTTCCTTAATACACAAAAATTGCGGTCAAGAGCATGTAAAAGACCAGGGGTGGGGGGGAATGTTCCCCTAATTCTTGCAAGATACAGGATGGATCAGAAGCTGAAACCGCTTGGCTCAGTCAGAGCCGTTGTATATAGGCGTGAATCAGTAACTACTTTTCACTGTTCGGTTCTCCCGAAGACACCCGAATGGCATCAGGACTTTGCGGCGTTCACGTTCTTCTCTTAGGAACTGAATGGAGCTGACCAGGCTGCCACCTGCGTCACAGAAACCCACATCAACTGTTTTTAGGCCATTACGAGACTGGACTAAATTTAGCATGAGAGCCAGAAGTGTGAGGCTTTGTTTCCAACCTCCTGCCCGGTCCTTATTTCTGGGTTGTCCGCTTGGGCTGTGCCCTACAACTGGTCATACGTCTGCTGAAGACAAGGGATGAAATCCCTGTCTGCTTTTGCTTTTTAATCACACAGAGCAGGGACGCCACTGAGGTTTGTTTGCAAAGTTCCCGAATAACACCACATGAAGCGGAGAGGGAGTTGTAGGGAAGAGCACAGGCGGTTTGCTGAGCTAGTAATAGGATATGGAGCTTCTCACCCCGCGGGATGACGGCTTTGAGTCCTGCCTGGGTTGACAGTGGTTCCAGGTGGCCGAGAGGAGAAGCCTGTTCAGTTTTTGGTTGCCCGTGTGTCGGTTGACTGCCTCCGCAGCCCAAAAGCTGTGGACTGCTGAACTGTGGTTGCTGCCGGAGATCTGCACTGGTTTGGGGATGGGAACAGCTCGCACTCGGAGCAAAGGGGGAAGCGCTTTTCTCATTAACCTTAAAATACCTCTCAAGTAGAAAATGTTCCCACCTCCTTTTTTTCGAGCCCCACATCTCTGCTAAAATTGTCAGGGTGGCAGAGATGAGGAAAGCGGGGGGGAAAATAAGTCACTCTGACAGTAGGAGGGAAAATTTTGAGGCTGCTGGGAGCAGTGTGCTGGTTCTGCAGTTCCAAGCTGTCCTTTATTTTAACTTCCTCAGTTGTTTCAGGATTCTGTTTATTTGTAGTAGCACACTGGTTAATTGGGGGTTTTCTGTGGATTAGTCATATTGTCATCCAAAATGGCTTAAAGTGTGTCAAGTCTGCTTAGTTCTGATTTATTAAAGGAGGCTGTGATAAATGTGTGTCTTTGAAACTCTCGCTGGGTCTGCTGGAGGTCACCTGTAATTCAGAGCATCTGGCGGAGGTCAGTGCTAGGCTTTTTGTTCTGTAGTGGTGTAAGCTTTGGGGTTTTTTTTTCAGCTCATCTCTGAAGGAGGAGATACTTCAAACTCGGTGACAAAATCCCACTTTTCAGGCAGCTGCACCCGCTAATGACTAAACTGCGTTAATTAGTTTTTAGTGCAGTTGCAGTAGTGTTCCTTTGTCCCTTCTGTAATGGTGATCCAAACAGATGATGTCAAGGAATCTTCTGTTTCAGATGAATTTAACTAATTATAAGAAAGCACTGCCTTCACTTTCCAAAGCTCAATAACACAGTCTAAAAGCTGGGAATAGCAGTGGTCTAACAATAGCATTTATATTGATAGTGTGGCTTGTATTACGGTGATATATGCAAAACTCGATTACAAAGTTCAGTTTTAAATTGGCTGCTTTTTTTTTGATCCGCATAACAAACTTCAGGTATTGTCATTCCTGCAGGAAACCTTGAGGCAAGTGCTCTTCCCGCAGCTCTCAGAAATACGTGGACGTAAATTGGGATGGCTGATTTGTAAAGCTCCCCTGGGCTCTGTCTTCAGATAACTGATGTGCCTCTCGTTAGGGAGTTGAGAGGGAAGGGGGATAATTAAGCCTGAGCAGATGTGCTAGAATGAGCTCTTGGATCAGAAGCGAAAGCGCTGGGTGATGAGGAGCTCCTAACTCCAGCTCCAGCAGGTGCAAACTCGCTCCTCTGTCCTAGTCCCCCTCTCCAAGTGGATTTGGTGCTTCTGCTGGGTAGGAAGCTTTCCTTCAAGGAGCTTTAAAATGGCCAGCTGTGAGAGCACCTTCCAAACCCCTCCAGGGAAATTTCCCAGTCTCTTTCCAGCCCTTCCACCTGTACGGCTCGGAGGTGGTTTCGGAGGAAACTGCCTGGCCACAGCGATGAGGACTATGTGTTCCTGTGTTTTGGCAATACTCTCTGCTGTTCTGCTGGTCATGTTATAAAAAAAACCCTACCTTTTTCCCTTCCTCCGATTGTGGTGGTGTCACTTGTGCCAGAGCGGCTTTAATTGAGCCCCTGTCTTCCTGTGAGGTGCTGAGATCGGACATTTGTGTGCAGAGGCTTAGTCACATAGCTAGAGAAAGCCGCAGCGCTTGAGAAATAGCCGGGACGACTTGCTTTTGCTTCTGGTGCAGCTGCTAAACGAAGGCCTGGTCTTCAAGCCTGGAAACTGTAAAAAAAAAAAAAAAAGAAAAGTATTTGACATGACTGAATGCAGCGTGGTGGGTGTCCCAGGGTGAGGGCACCCTCCGTTCTGGGCACCGGTGCCACCCCGGCTCTGCCTCGCCGCGGTTTTGTTGATGGCTGGCGAGCTCAGGCCTGCTGGTGCATTCACATCTACAAACAAAGCCCCAAACGCTTTGTTAGGCTCCTTCCTTGGCAACCTTTCTGCCGCGTCCCTAAAGCTTGCCTTTCCGCTGCACAAGGAAGCCCGTGTGGGGATCATTGTTAGTCTCCCAAGTATGGCTCTTTCATGTCTTCCTCTCGAACACAATGTATCTTTATACCTTAAACGTCAGGAAAATCCTGTACAGTTAATCCTTTGGGAAAGGCCAAAAACCCCTCAGAAACGCTCGAGACTTTTAAAAGTACTTGTTAGCAGGCGAGTATTTAACTTCTTGGTGCAAAAGCCAATGGTAGGAACTGGATGCAAGAGGAATTGCTGAGACTTAACGGGAGCACTGGCCTGATTTCTTAAATTTCCCGGCCTGATAAAGAAGTGAACTTTTTACAGGTGGTTTGGTGATTAACTGACAAAGCCGTGCCATGTTTGCAGTTAAGAGTTAGTGGCTTGATGGATGGGAAACAGCACGTATCGACCCTCTAACCTAACCTTGGAAATGTGTGTCTGTCGGTATTTTCTCGAGACTGATAGGTGCAGCGGAAGCCGACCTGACTTGGAGTAGGTAGAGAGCTGAGTGATAGACCCATCTTTATAAAGGGCCTTTAAATACAGATGGCCAAATGGACTG